TAATAAGTAATCATACGGTTTTTCTCGTTCAATTTGGAGTTAATTTGCACTTGTGAGTTTTTCAAAAAGCTGAAATTACCCTCGCCGAAGCGGCTCGTGCAATTTCAACTTTTTGAAAAACTCACTCGTGCAAATTAATTCCAAATTGAACTCAAAACCGTATGATTACCTATACTACTACTAATAATAAATAAAATGAAATAAAATAAAATAAAACAAAACAAAAAGTGCGCTTGGCTTGTCATCGGCAATTCACATGGGTGGAGCGGAAATGGTCTCGGGTCTTGCATCACGCAAGAATCGTGACAAAGCACGATTAAGCGCTCAGATCAGTAAATTCTTCCGACATAGTACATCATTAGAAATGTGCTATTTTTAACAATTGACTAGGGCCTGAGGTCAAAAACAACATACATTATCAAGAAAAAGGACCATATTGTCTGAACTGAAGAGAAATACCAGAACTAATGAACGAATCAGTGAACGAACCACTGAAAGACTTGGAAAGACTGGAAGAAAGGAGAGGGAATCTTGCCTTTATACGGACTGCCAAGAAAAAGACATTACGTCATTTTGTGGTCATGATAGCGAGGGCCAGAAACTGACCAATGAAAACGCTCGTTCTATTACATATAGCAAGAAGCCATCTTGAAAATAATGTAGACAGGTGAAATCATGGCGAAATTTTGACAACTGCTGCAGATCCTCAAAAAAACATTAGATGGGAAATGAGCTTCGGAGAAATCATAACTCTGAATGTTGGTGGACGAAAGTAAGTGCCATTCGCATAATCGTCTTTTGGGGGCCTTTTCTGTGGAGGAATTAGTAATTTTAAAAGTCCGTAAGGCGGTAAAATCTGGTAGAAAGTGTCTTTTGCTTGGTGCTGCTACACAGTCAAAGTAAAATTAAATTTAACTTTTGTTTACACTGAGATAGTAACGCTGCTCTTGTTCACATGAAAAGAAATCGTGACTTGCTTTCAGAGAAGTTCAAGATTAATTCCTTTCAATCGAAAACTGTTTCTGTAGTAGCTTTCCAAGATGCATTGAAATTGGAATAAACTACATGCATGCATGTGTAAGCTTGATTTACGTTTGATAACTTTAAAGTTTAACTGGGAACGAATAATTTATTGTTAGGATAAAATTTTGAGTCCTACCTCTATTATCTTAGATTTCTGGCACACACTTTGGACTTACTATTAATACGGCTGCAGCATACTGCTGACAGCTTCTACAGTACAAATTGTTAATTCCAAAACAAAGTGGATGTAGTGATCTAGCTGTTACAAGCACTTGGTGCTACGCAGTCTTTCAGCTCAAAATTTACCATATTTTTAAAAGGTTGATCAGTTGTACAGTTTTCAGTGTAAATTGTCAGAATGGTGGACATATCTAAAATTTGTAATAATTTTTCGTGGCCTTCATTTTTATTTTGGCTTGTTGAACATCTGCAGGTTTTCAACTTCCAAGCAGACTTTAACATGGATTCCAGACTCATTTTTTTCAAGGTACAGTAGGCATGGTTGTGATTTTTTTTTGCAGTGAGGGAAATATAGAATAATGCCATGACTGCAAATCTTGTGTTCTTAAATGTTCAACAGCAACATGGTGTTTTCAAAGATAGGATGTAATAATTATATTGTGAGATACCATCGAAGTTAAAGCAATTTCTCAACGCAAATTAAGAATATATATTGGACAACCATACTTTGAAAAGTCAAAAGGTCTTCCACAATGATTTGGGTCTAAGACCTGGTCAAAGGTCATACTGTTACTATGTTGTGTTCTTGGGTCAAATGCTTTACTCTTGCAGTACTAACCTCTCTTGAACCCAAGAGGACAACCTGTAATGTAAGAAATACAGGGGATAACCTATAATGGACTGAATCCCATCCAGAGGGAGTAGTGATAATTAGAGGGAATTAACAACTCCAAGAGTCTGGGCTCTCAGATCCTTTGGCATGGCACAGACATTACCTCTGTTGAAACAAGAACTATACATGTATCTGGGGCACATCCAGGGGGGTTCAGGTGGTTTGGTCAAACCCCCTAAATTAAAAAAAAAGACATTATAACATGCCAACCTGGCCTCAGAATGTCCAAGGACCTCAATTTTAAAATTTCCAGGGGAGGATACTCTGCAGACCACTCTAAAGGGGACCACCTTTGCTGGCCTGTATCTCAAACCCCCTTCTCTAAAATTCTGCAACTGCCCCAGTACATGTATATGGGTTGAAACACTATTACAACTTGTTATCAACTAACCTAGATACAGAATTTATTTGAGGTCTTTGGCTGTACTTGGATCTTTTACTTAAAATCATTTATTCCTTGGACCACATCAGATGAACGAAAGTAAACTATGGTTTTGTTTAAATGCTGTTTAATAACAGACTTTACTCACTTGGCTAAGTGCTGTATGAATATCATACTAGGATACATAATGAACTTAATTTGACCAAGAAAAATATGTGCAGCTCCTTGAACATTCAGCTGGTGCTTTATACTTTGTGATTGTTTATATTTTGAGCACTTTAAAAAATGATAGGGCATTGGCATTGATAAACATGTATCGTTATACGTAATCATGTAGTTGAGAATACATTGTAGTCTTGTTTACAAGCTGTCTGTCATTAGTTCCATATGACTATACAATTATTGTTTAAATTCTTTCTCCCAGTTTACTAAGTGGAAGAATTTCGTCTCTAAGAGATGAGACAGGAGCGGTAAGAAAACCATGACACTGTAATATTATTGAAGTAGGTTGTTATCAAGGATAAAAAATATATGTTTTTTCATAAAGTGATATCAGAAGTCTGTGGGTCTTATAGAATATGTTTCTTTAGTCTTGATCAATGATAGATTTGGATTTGTTTCTCTATCCATCAATCTCTTTATGTCATTTTGGAAGAGGCTTGATATTTAAGCTGAGCTTGTCTTCAAAGGCTACATTGAGACAGAATAAACTGGCTGTTTTAAAAATGTGGCTGTTGTAGAAGGGCTTGATAAGAGTCAAGTCTGTGGTTTGGTGCATGGTCTGTCATCACTGCCCCTCCCCCCCAAAAAAAACATAAATAAATATATAAATAAAAATCATAAAATCGTCTTGAATTCCACAGTCATGCTTGTGTCATGTAAGCCATGCTCTCAGGTTAAAAAATCTCAGGTTAAAAGTTGGCAGGTAATGATTATTAGTATGGACAACTTATAAACAAACATGGCTGGTAATTAACAATAACAGCATTCACCTGTGATGGCCACTTTGCTTGCACCACAAGCTTTGGCAGTCATAAGGTTCACTAAACCGATTGGACCTGCAAATATCATAACAGCAAAACACATGTAAGTTAAGCAAATGAATAGAGGGGGTATGTTTCTAAAGAAACTGTGGTGCTGTGTCGGTGGGGATTATAACAAGGTAATTTGGTTTTATCAACCGGGTTGATAATGTGAATTGGGCACCGTAAAGAGATTCGGTGGCCGATTCACATAATTTATCAACCCAGTTGATAAAACCAAATTATCTTGTTAAACAGATTTATTATTTCTGGCACTAATAGCAGCCAGTACTTTGATGACAGATTTATTGACCAGTATGCCATCGTAATTAAGCTACAACTCCTTACCAGCTCCGCAAACCAATACATTGCTTCCAATGGAGATACCAGCCCTACGACAAGCATGTACTGCAACAGAGAGTGGTTCAAGGAGAGCTCCTTCCTCAAGTGATACATGATCAGGAAGCCTAAAGGAGTGGAATCACTACATCAGGCACGGTGTCATCCTTATTTAGGGTATCCATTTTGCACCCAAGCTATTTAGAGTGGCTTAGCGCTGCATGGACTCAAAATCAGATTGTTCCTATTGTGCAGTGCGAAAGTATTTACCAAATGAATGTACCATGGTTTTGAATCATATACATTATACAAACTGTGACACAGGGGTTTCATTAACAGCAGGAGGGCAACTGGTTTTCACAGGCGAGTGAAACTATTTAAACTGAACTTCTATTATAAGAAAAAATTTCCTCCAGATGGTCTAGCCAGGCGAGCAAAATCGTCTTGACAACCCCCCCAATTTGCAGGGTGTCCGTCCGTTAATGAAATCTCTGGTAACAATCAAATATATCTAATAATTTGCAAAGTATCTTCATTTCAGTGGTTGTTTACACTGGTTTAAAGCCTTTTGGGGATGACTGTGCAGGATAATCTGAATCATAACTTACTTATAACAAAAGTCAGCAGCGTGAACATAGTATCTGCACAGTGAGCCATCATATGGAGGCGTAGCAGCAAACTTCATTTCTGGACATAAATTGTAACGACCTTCCTTGCAAAAGGAGCAAATCCGACAGCCAACTCCTGGTTCAATGGCCACTCTGTCACCTTGCAGCCCACAAAAATGATTGAACAAATGAGATCAACACTTTTTAGTTATATTAATTTTATTTGCAAACAGCATAACACCAAACTGAAACTACATGTACTTACAGTACAAATTACTACCACCCTTGACAATTTGGTCCCTTGCAAATACTTACAACATGGTTACATTGCACTGTACTTACAATGTAAATGCTGACACAACCCCACCCAGGGAACACAACATACAATGATTGACACTGCTTACAATGCAATTTACATAACTGCTTCAAGACTATGTTGTACTTAAACCATTATCAATATTGCATCGCATTTCTTTCAGTTCTACTTACCCTGAAGAATACATGGCCCCTTATGGAAAAGCAGTATGTAAGTGATAATAGTGGGCATAATGGACTTACCAACTTTGAGGTCTGTGACCCCTTCACCAAGAGCAGACACTATCCCACTTGATTCATGCCCAAGAACCATAGGTGCTGTGAGGATAAAGTCCCCAATTCTTCCCTTCTTCCAGTAATNTGTAGTTGTTGTATTACGGCTAGTAATGGCGGGCTTTTATGAGCTTCATTAAAAACCATTGTGTTAGCATTGTTTAGTCCCGTTTAGACTACGCTACAACAGTTTTTCGAACCTCCTGATAACTCAAATCAAAAGTCTTTTCCCCTCCTCAGTCAAACACTGTAATTTTATCCCCAATTTCTTGAACTATGCTTTTTTTCAAACCAATTTTCGTACCCCTTGGAGGTTCAAAAAAATCAGGATTCCACTGTATTGACAGAAGTACATAATTATTTACATGTGTTGATTTGCTTTGTCTTTGTAGCTAAGCGGCTAGCTTTGTGTGAAGAAGTCTCTCATTCCAAATGTGGTGATGTGCTGTTCCATGGATATCTTAACCCTCCAGGTAATGAATGTTAAAGAAACCCATGAGAAACTACTCTGATAATTTCCTAGGGTCTTTGTGAGGACCTTAATGAAGAAGTAGCTGGTGATTTATTAAATAGTGTAGACTGAACAAAACAGATTTCAGAGGGAAATGTATCACATTCTCAAAACGTTTTCTAAAATTTTAAGGTTATATATACTGAAAAAATACTCATTTGAGATAAGGCCAATAAAAACCTTATTAACAACCTTGGAAATCTTGATTTCTGGAGGGGTGTAACTGATAAGCAACAGTTGGTTATATGTGTTTGGTGGGGAGAGGGTGTTTGACAGGGGGGGGGGACTTAAGAGGGAGAGGACAATATAACAGGTCAGCTCCACAATGAGTTAGAAGGGGAGATATAAAGGGTTTATGATGAGTTGAAGTAATTTTTTTATCCAAATGACTGATTTTCTTTCAGAGTTTCCACTTCCTTCCATGTCAAGACACTCTTCGTCATCTGCTCTCACGAGAAGAAGCTCTGCATCAACTGTAATAAGTGCATCACGGTATGAAACTAATGCCCCTTCTTACCGAGATTTTGGCATCAGAGAAGTGCCTGATGATGATGAGGTTGTAGCTGTGGGTGAGTACTTAAATGAAGCCAGACAAAAATAGAGTAAATTAATTTTTCATGTGTGTTGAACCAGGAGTGTCCAGTGCATTTTTATTATGTAATTCTTGTCACCTTTCTGTTCGTCTTATTATATTCTGGCTGCATGGGCTACGTATTAAGTTTTCTATTTATACTTCATGACTTTGTATATATAGCATATACTTATCTCAAGTTTGGAGCATGAAGTGGCTACGAATCATTCTGTTCGGTCATGAGGCAATGTTCAGACAACCTGGCATATGTGCCAGTACACAACTAGCTTGAGTCTAATAAAACTGTCTTTCCCAAGTAAACAATGCATTTAACCTCAGGCTACTCTCATAGCCTGTGTGGATCTTGAGTCATGGTTTGCATCCATTATTAGTTTGTTTTCATGCTATGCTTCCATTAACACGCTCCTACTCACTTTGTCTGGATTAATCTACTGGAATCCATTGTGCTTATCATTAGCACCCACTAGGGTATTGTGATGTCAATTATCTGCAAATGTTGTTTTCTTCCACAGATGTAGATCCCAGAAGAGTGTTGATGGTGATCGGTCATCACAGCTTTGTAGCAGTGGCTTTTGCACATTGTGTGTTCTGCTACAGGTGAGAGTGAAGAATTCCTGCTGCAAATGTTCTGCATCTTAGCACTGATTTTTGCTGATGTTGCTACTGTTTGTTGGATAGCAGAGCTGGGGCAGTGGTGAGAGCGCTTGCCTCCCACCAATGTAGCCCGGGTTTGATTCTGGCCTGGTGCCACACCGTATGCGTGTTGAATTTGTTGTTGGTTCTGGCCTTGTTCCAGGGTTTTTTCCCGGGTACTCCAGTTTTCCTCCCTCCTGAAATACCAACATTTCCAAATTCCAACTCAATCAGGATGGAGGACCTGCATGAAAACTAGCTGAAGCTGATGTGGCTTCCTCTCTAAACATTAATTAATTTATTATTTATTTATAACTCTTTGTCTGCAGATCTAAGGATTCTGTTGGTTGGGAGCTGATTTTTTCCACTCCTTATCTGGTGCACTGTGTAGAAAAAATGGCACTCAATGCCAAAGTGACGTCCAGTTCTCTTGGGGATAAAATGCTGGCAGTTTCATCTGGTGAGTTAAACCTAGTTCACACTAGCAACGTAATGACGTAATGACATAATGACATAAACATAACAACATACTTGCAGTACTTGCAGTACTTGCAGTTAAAATTAAAATAATTCCTGCTAAGATGTACTGTAGATGTAAATCTAAGTCACTCTGTAATTCAGGTGTTAATAGGAAATCATCATTCTGTTCTCTTTCAGTGGGTAAAATTCGTTTATGGAGCTTCACTACAACAGACCATATTCAAGGTGTTGTGAAATTTGAAATTGGTATGTTTTAGCTGATCACGTGATGTTGCCTTGTAATTCCTTTTTTTTTTAGAAATCAAGTGTTCTTTATTCAGGGCCCATAGCAAGTGCAGCTTGATTGCTTGAAAGGGTCCAACAAAATAATGTTTCAACTACAAAATGAAGGGCACATCTGCCAAAGTTAATTCCTTGGCTCACTACCATCACCTCATCACTTTTCACTTATTATTTGAGAATTTGTTTTTCAATACTGAATTATGATTTTGTTGTTTCCTTTGATCTGGCTGCAGGAACATTTGATTTAACTGTTCCTGTAGATGCTCTGTTTTTCATTGGAAGCCAGCTTGTGGCTACAAGCCACACAGGCAAGATTGGTGTGTGGAATTCCATGACTCAGCATTGGCAGGTACAGTGTGTGTAGAGTGGCAGCTTGTCAGTATCAGCCCACTGAACTTCTGGCAGTCTGCTCCCAACTGTTGTTATTGTTTTGGGTTTTTTGGCACCAAGGGAAGGCATGCTTGTCTTCAGGGCCTGCAGTCGTTTTAGTCAACACTATGAGTATTGACCTCTGGGCAGGTATTTTGGCATTTGTCAGCCAATCAGGTTTGAAGGAAAGTCAGTGAATCGTGAACTTTCCTGTCAGACCTGGCCTGAGGCCGTTAGTCTTGGTTCTGACCATTTAGAATGGTGGACTCCAGGGCACTTCCAGGTATCCACCTGGCTCAACAAGGCTGGAAGGCAAGTACTTGCCCAGCTGTGCCCTGCCTACTTGCTATAGGTATTTCAAAGAGTAAATTGTAGATTATTAACTTTTCTTTCTTTGTTCAGATCCAGGATGTAATGCCTATCTCCAGCTATGACACTGCAGGTTCTTTCCTTCTTCTTGGATGTACAAATGGTTCTATTTATTACATTGGTATGTATGCAAGATTGTTGGGCTTTATAGGCCATTTATTGAGTTAGTGTACTTTTGATAACTACCCAGCTCATCAGCATTACGCCAGAAGTTGACATTTCACCGCTTTATTGTCGCGATACTTCTAGTGTGCTCCCCTTTGCTTTTTAATTTCTCTTCCATCTTTAAAACTGAAGAAATCTGTACTCAGTTTCCGAGCTCTCATCTCTGTAGCATGATACAAGTTGTAAGTATTGTT